AACCTTAAACCAACCACAACCTTAGGACCTAGATAGTCAAATAATGTTGCTTGGGTGTGCTATCCTTCGGGTTAAAGCAAAAAAATTTGATAAACTATTTCAAATTCATCTCTATTGACATGTTGTCTTTCATATCAAATTATGACAATGTCAAATTTGACAAAAAAAACTTTTTTTAAGAAAAGAGAGGGTGAGTTGTTTGGAAAGTGCTAAGACCTTATTTGGTACAACTTATTGAAAATTAAAAATTCATAATCACAAAACAGAAAACCTTGAATCTCTAGAAGCTTGTTGTCGAGCTTCGATTTTGTAGATTAGATTAATCTTTAAAATGACTATAGAGAGAGTTTGCAATAAAATCGTACGAGAATGAATTTGGATTTCTCTCTGTATTCAAAACTTGCTAAATGGCCCAGCCCAACACAATAGAAGACTCAGCCCACTAATCAAGTCAATAAACGTGTAGATCTAGACTGGCCCAGCCCATATTTTAGTTTCTAGTTGGCTTTAATTGGATATTGAACCCGGCCCATTTTATGTTAAAAATGCCCATTTTAAGTTAAAAAATGCTCATTTTAATTTTCTTCATTGCTCAACCCTATTAAGAATTTAAAATGGATTAGTTGGGTTAGTCAGAATTTGTGAATTATGAATTTAGGTAATAATTTAAATAAAAAATATATAGAAAGTATAATTATATTTCAATTATATATATATAATATTTCAATTTTATATATATATATATATATTTAAATTTCTATCAAAATCCATAATTTAAACACAAATTTACTCTTAACTGTTTGCAATACTTACTCTTAGCATAGTTAGTTTGGTTAGTGAGAATTTGTACCTTTTAGTTATGATTTGAAGTCCAAAATTAAGAATTAATAGCTTAAATAGTATTTTTCACTTTATTTTCAAGTCACTCTTAAGATTCATAGTTAATAACTACTGAGAATTTAATATAGTTAAAGATTAATTAGAATGAAATTTCGAACCCAAAAAAAAAAAAAAAAATATATATATATGAAAAATGCTTGGGAGCACTAATTAGTGCTCCCACTAATTAGGTGGCAGTGGGTCCCGCCATTGATGATGTGATGTTTTGGTCTTGGAGTTGTGTTTTTTATTTTTTTTTTTTATTTTTTTAATACATTAGTGCTATTAGTGATAATATTTTTAATGGGATGAATCATTGTTGTTTCATTGTTTGCAAGTGCTATTATTTAATAGATCTTTGTTTGTACTCCTAATTTTGTCAGAAGTTATTTGGTGGTATTGTGGATGGCCACGTGGTTATCATTGGTAGAAGAAAAATGAGAAATTTACAAATCAATGGTATTATCTTAAAATCAGTATAAATTTATGAAAAATTTTGTGATTTTAATTATTAATGTATATAAAATTTATCATGAATATGTAATTATTTTTCAAAATTAACATTGATTCGTTTTTTTCGAAGAAAAATTATTTCGTGGTCCAGATGCACCAAGTGATCATATTCTTGATCAATTATAAATTATTATGTTTATTGTCTTTTCTTAATCACCCAGTACAAAATTATGAGTTCTATTTTCTCCACTAATTACCACACACATGAGGCACTATGTGGCTGTGCCACTAGACTACTAAATAATTTGTTTTGATAGATAGAGTGAGACCTATAATTTTGCATTGGGTAATTAAAAAATAACAAGGAACATGTTGGTTTGTGATTGGCCAAGGCATGGTCACGTTGTATCCTTGAATCACGAAATAATTTTTCTAATTTTGTATTAAAACAGCAAAATATTTATTAAGGAAAATATTTTTAAAAAAAATGAAAAGTACAAAAATAATTTTAAAACGATGAAGGTACAATTGATTATGCATTAGATGATACAAATAAATCATATACTTTCATCATTTAAAAATTATTTTTTTACTTTTTACTCTTTTGAAATTCTCCCTATATATTACATTTTGCGTCACGCATGACATCACCCTCTGCTCTTTGTATCCATTTCTGACATTGGGCCCCGTTCCGGCCCACGTTCGTGGACTGTATTGCCCAGTTGGGTTCATGGACAACCACCGGCCTAATTTTAATAATTCATTTTATGAGTGCTTTTATATGTAGATGGTATATTTAAAAAAATTAAATTAATCTAATAATTTTAATTATATATATTTTAAAATGGATGGTAAGAATATTTTTAGAAATAAATCGTTTATTTTTTTATATTTTTAAAACAAAATGTAACGAAATGATATGACTATAATTATCGGATTCTCCAACAATTTACACACAAGGACTTACAAAATGAACATAATTGATGAGAACCTGATTAGGTAAAATACATAGTATTTTTTTTTTTGTTTTTGGTACTTTAGCTGTGAAAAGTGAAAGTTGTGTTTGATTCATAGATTTGGAAAAGGAAGGAAAAAAGAGTAGTGTTAGAGTTGCTCTTGTAAGACATAAATACCTTATATAAATTGTAAAAATGATTATTTTTAGTTTATATTTTATGATTATCAGTTTTAAATCCACCAAAAACTATATCAAACAAAACCAAAACTCCTTATTATAAGAAAATTGTTAAATATTTATGGAGTAACACAGGATATTTTTAGTCAATGAAAAATTACAGTGTGTTAAGTAAATTATCATTTTTTTAAAATAATTATCTAATAAAGATGGATCAGCATATTTCACTCATAATTTTTTTTTTTTTTGGCCAAATAATTAATTTGGAGCACTATATAAATATGAGTAATATTAGAAACTCTAAAAATTTTATCAAATGTCTTACATAATGTAGGTCCTATATGAACATTTAATAAAACTTTTGATAAAATTTTTAGAGCAACATTTTTGTAAATATACTAGATAATGTTGGAGGACTACTCAATAACTGACCTTCATTATTGTGGGTTGGTGTTGTAGACCACCCCAAAGATCAAAGCCAAATGGGACACGCCATAGGATATGCATGCATTAATTGTATAATGGCCAAGATGGGAGAAATAAATAAAATGAAATATTACTTTAAAGATATTGAATAATGTCCCTGACTCACTTGTTTGATTGAACAACCGTACTACATGTATAAAAGAATTATCAGCAATACTAGGTGGTCACAAATTCTATGGTTCGAATGGCTCGAAACACTTAAAACGACGTCATTTTGGGTGTAAAACGAAACAAAACAATGTCGTTTTGACAATTTCGGGCCATTTGAGCCACAGAATTTGTGGTCACCAATCATTTTTCAAGAATTATATACAAAATATACAATTTTACGTATTCTGTTTTTTACTTTTTTGTTTTTCTTGATTGAATGGAAGAGGAGGGGTATGTTTGATTTGTTATTCTCAAACAATATTCAGAATTTAAAAAAAAAAAAAAACTAGTTTGATAAAAATAAACATTAAAAATATATTTTAAATTTTTTAAAAATTATTTATAAAATTATATAAAAATAATAAGTATTTTTTATTTTTCCATTTTCAAATTAATTTTTAGTTTTTTTATTTAAAAAATCAAAAAATATATTCTGAAAAGCAAACAAACATAGTCTATCCCATTTATTTAATTTTTTTTTTCTGTGCCATCTCATTAGTATTATGCACACATCATGAATAGCGAAATTACTGACCTAGTTATATTTGTTCCAACCCAATTTTATTAAAAGGATTCGGGACAACAATGGTAGAGTAGAGTAAATTATAGGATAAAAAGTTTTAAAAAAGGTTAAAATTAGAGTAAAATATGAAAATATATCACTAGGGCTGGCAATGGGGGGCAATGGGGTGGATATTAATTCCCCATCCCCATTCCCCTATAAAAATAATTAAGATTTAAATAAAAAATTCACTCGAAAAACTCAAAAAACTCAACCCATTACCATTCCGAATATACACAGTGATCTGTCGAAACAGTTGAAAAATTTCTATGAATTATGATTTGTTATGCATACAATTTATATATATATATATATATATATGTGTGTGTGTGTAAAAAAAATAAAAAAATAAAAAACACACACAATGACATGACCAGTTTTATTTAGAGGTAGTAGTCCTCTTGGCAAGATGGTTAAAAACTAATATTTTAATTTTTTAATTTTTTAAATTTTTTTTCTTTTTCTTTTTTGTCAGAAAAGAAGTCAATTACTTTCTAAAATAGGCCATAAGAAAGGAAGAGTACAAAAAAATTCTATGATAAGAGACTCTTTGTAAATTGCAGGACTTGCTTTTTCAGGCATTTTTTGGTCCACTCATTTGTTCAACCGACGGTTTGCATGATATTAGAACTTTGGGTAAATGAGGGCATTAATTTTTGCATTTTATTTTTTGCCTTTTTCTTTCTTTTTTTTTTTTATAATTATCTTTTTATCATTTTACTTTTTCTAAATTATAACTCATTTACATTTTACTTCTGTAAACTTTAACATTCAACAATTAACACACTCAAAATATTTTCTTGTTAACACTTCAATTTTTTTTTTGTTATAATTTTATTAAAATTTTATAAAAAAATCAGATCATATATAAAACATATAACATATTTATTAAAATTTTAATAAATAAATAGATTAAGAATTCATATATAATCGATTCATGAAAAGGATGGACATGAACGGATAGAAGGAGACAAATGATGCAGGTTTGAGACAATTTGCCGCTTCCGAAAAATAATTTTCTGTGGCCACGAGACAAGTTTCTCAATTTGATATTTTTAGTTAAAATTATGGGACTTAATATTTTTTGTCAGGATTTTAAGAGATTATTTAATAAATGTCAAGTGATAAATGATATGAGACATTATTCCTAGACCACTAAATAACGAGTGATTATTTGGTAGGTTTTGGAGTATTGTTTCACATAATTCATCACTCGACTCTTATTAAATTATTTCTTAAAAATAAACAAAAAAAATATTAAATTTTACATTTTTAATTAATAAATATCAAATTGAAGCATCATGAAATATATATATATATATATATTAATTGAACCGCCTCTCTCTCCAAGGCTATAAATACGGGGGAGTCACAAAGCTCTTCTCATCATCCCTTCAAAATGGCATACTCCAAAACTTTTCTTCTTCTTGGACTTGTGTTGGCTGTCCTTCTACTCGTCTCCTCTGAGGTTTCAGCCAGAGAGCTAGCTGAAACTAGTGAGTTCCTCACTTTCTCCATTGCATGCCAAACATATATATATATATAATATATATATATATATATATCTTATTAATTGTTTCAATAATGATATCCATAAACGCATTTCTTATCAAATATTTCCGTTAATTTTTATTATCATGTTTATTCACTCTCCTTTTTACTAGATGCACTCCATTTTTTGTTTTTAGTAGACAAAATTATAATAAAGCCATTCATACTTTTGTCAATTATACACTTAAAATTGCATAGTAAGAACAAATTATAGTGTTTTTGATGGAATTACTAGCAGCACCCCCATTACTAATTGTTATATTACCTTGTATTAATACTTCAAAGTATCATATTATGACATAATGATGTTTTTTTTTTCTTCTCTTCTAGAGGAAAATATGCAATTGAAAAGTGTGGAAGAAGCCAAGTATGGTGGTCATGGACATGATCATGGACACGGGCACCCTGGCCATGGTGGGCATCCTGGACATGGTGGTGGTAAGTATGGGCGGAACTATGTAGGGGCTGGAGGGCCCTATCCCCCTCTTATTTTTGACAATTTATTATTAATGAGTATTTGTAAAATGAATAATAGGATATTTTTAAAATTTTATAAGAATTATTTTACTAACTTTTTATTTCATTAGTATTTTACAATGCCTAATGAAATGATCTTTGTTGGGTGTTTGGGAAGTGGATTTTTTTTTTTTTTTAGGTTTTTTAGTTGTAGGATATTATTAGAGAAATTTTTTTTTGTGTTTGGAAAGATAGTTGAGTTTTTTTGTAGTTGAATGTGATGTTTGTGAGAGAAAAAATAAAATGATTATGAGGTTTGATGTGATAGTTTATTTTAGATTTTTTTTTTTTTTTGATTTTGTAACCAATTTGTCTTTTAGTAAAAAAAAAATAAAAAATAAAAAAACAACAAACCTCCTTCCCAAACACCGCCAACTATTATTTGTCTTTTAAATAATAGTATCAATCTTATCTAAGTTGATTTTATTAAAACAAGAGGTACATGTTATTTATTGTTTTTGATTTTAAAAATCAAATGGTATGTATATGTTTTTATGAGTAATGTTAAGGAACCTAAAACTTCACCCTTTAAATTTATTTACAATAACATATTAGATCTTAGTTGATTGATTTCTAAACAAATCAACTAATATGTAACACTCAACACCACTGAATTTAAGTGTTTTTCAAGAATCTTAAGCCATTTTCACTTTTTACTTACTAGATTCTATCAATCAATAAAATCGCTTAAAATAGTGGTTTAACTGATTGTATACTAAAATCTAATAGTTTAAAATTGTAAAAATTATTTTTTAAATTTATTTAGTTTTCTCGTGAAATACGTCTTTAGTAAGAAATTATATTCAATTAGGGCATCAACAATGGGATGGCTAAAAAAGTGTATTAAGATGTATGTTATATGACAAAAAGTAATAGAAGTGGGGCCCAAAAATGTTTGTTAAGATGTGTTAAGAGTTTGTTAATTTTAGAGAGTGAGTGGTAGTGTAATGGATGTGTTAACGTGTATGTTAAATATATATGTATGTGTATATAATAAATAAAATAAATAAATAATTTAGTTTAATCAAAAATTTCAAGCCCAAAATTAAATTTCAAGTCAAAAAAAAAAAAAAAATTGCCATTGACCGGTCAACTGGCCGAATGTCCGGCCGGTCAACCGGCAAGACCAAAAACACGCCTCCTTCACTGCCTAAAACCCTCGCTGCAGATAACAAACAAGTTAACACACACCACTGACATACACGTTAACTCATCCACTCCAGCACCAAACAATACCCTCAGCTAGCCAAAAGTTGGCACCTGACACTAACACACAACTTAGTGTGTCCTTTGTAATGCTCTTAGTAATGTATCAAAAGTTTTTTATGCATATACATTGGCCTCTCCCAAACAAAATTCTTGATTCTAAGTTCATGATAATAAATACATGTGAGATTGAATTATTTTTGTGTCTATTTTTCTTTTTAAAATGACAAGAAACCCCTCAAGGCAAGGTCCAACCTTGAAGTACAAAATATGGGATGTATGCCAACATCCCCACAAGCTACATTGGGGAAAATTGTGGAGCCTTGAGTTTGAGACTTGCTATTTCATTGGCAAAAGAATTATTGATGAGCTACACCGTATTGTGTCTAGTTGTAAAAAAATCTTATTAGAAATCCGTTAATTTTTATCATCCCGTTCATTCGCTCTTCTTTTTACTAGATGCACTCCATTTTTTTTTGTTTTTAGTAGACAAATTATAATAAAACTGTTCACACTTCTGTCAATTACACTTAAAAATTGCATAGCAAGAACAAATTATAGTGTTTTTGATAAAATGGAAGTACTAATTCTTCTTTCAAAAGATCATATTATGGCATAACTATTTTTTTTTTTTTTTTTTTTTTTTTTTTTTTTTTTTTTTTTTTTTTTTTTTTACCTTTTTTTGTAGAGGAAAACATGCAAATGAAAAGTGTGGAAGATGCCAAGTATGGCGGTCACGGCTATGGCTACGAACATGGCCATGGACACGAACATGGACACGAATATGGACATGGGCACCCTGGACATGGTGGTCACCCTGGACATGGTGCTGGTGAGACAAAAGAGGCGGAAACTGAGTCTAATAAGAATTAGATGACCTTTATAAATCGTATGCATGTTTTGTGTGTGCAAATAAAATGAATATGTAATGTATGTATGTTTTTAATGTGGAATAAAGCATGCTGTTAGCATGTGCCACAGTGTATTAGTCGTGTAATATCATTATCAAGACTTTCATGTCTATCTTCTATCTATTTGCTTTCTATGTATCTTAAATGTGTGCAATACATTTTAATATGTTAACTATAATCTTAAGCCGGGGGTGGTTGAATCAAATTATTTTTGTGAATGAAAAAAAATAAGAAAATTTTAACTTATAGTTTATTCATTTTTCTCTCATTTTTTTTTTAAATCATTAAACCGAACACAACCTTAAAGCGCTTTTTTTTTTTTTTTAACGAACCTTAAAGCTTGAATCACCAAATACTGTTGCTCGATTGTGCCATCTTCCGGTTAAATCAAAAAATTGGATAAATTGTTTTAAACTCATATCTAATAAGGTGTTATCTTTCATGTCAAATTATAATAATGTCAAAATTGACATAAAATTTGGCATATGCTACTGTCCAATCATAGATCTTCTCTATTCTTAAATTTTTGCCTGTGTCTTAATATTCCCGGTATAAAATTATGAAATACTAAAAAACATCATCTAATAATCAGAAGTGCATTGAATAGGAGAATGGATAGTTTTGGACACAAGATCATGTGCCCAATATCTAATGTCAGAAGCTTGAAACCCACAAATGATATCTATATTTTTTATTGTGTGGAACATTTGAATCATTTGAACAATATATTGTCAAATATGATATTTTCACACTATAACATATCAAAATTTAACCTTGATGTTACCATTTTGACACCAATCATTAGTCTCATTATTTTGACTTAATATCACTATTGTATTTAAATTTCTTTTCCTAATTATAGCAATTCATTTTATTTATTTTTTTGAGAACCCAAAAAGCAGATATGTTTTTTTTTAGGTAATTAGAAAGCTTATATATAACAATAAAGGGCAATGTTGTTTACAAAACGGGGCCAGCTTGTGAGCTGGTTTGACCACAGACCGAGAGATCTTCAAAATACAAATATAAGCAAAAGACAAACCAAGATTCTTCAATATCAGCACAAATGCATGCTATCATTAAACGATAAATAGTAATAATGACAATAGTGAATTTCATTGGTTTTTTACAAGGAAATATTATATAAAACTGAAACCATGTCACAAGGTGTGCCACTGACCCTGCCCATCAATACTGCATATAAATTATTCAAACACATCACAAATTCACAATGGCAACATAAAAGAAGAGAACCTCAAAATATAAGACAATGAAAAATCAAAGAGATTTCACTGTTCAAAATGTCTGAAAATGTTAGTAATACATATTTGTTTCATCTAAAAAGTCTCAGTGGACAACTCTTGTCACAGCTTCTTAGCAGTTAGCACCATTAATAGATGGGAGGGGGGAGGAAAAAGAGTGAATGGGTATGCTGAATACAACATGAACTCCCTGCTGGAAGAGTTAAATTAAAAATAAAATAAAATAAAATAAAATTTGTGAATATTTTCAAGTGAGACAGATAACGAGCAGAGCGGGGTACTAAGTGTCCTGTGCTAAACTAAGACTTCAGAATCTGAAGCTGGGAATGACATCCATTGCCCAAGCAAACTTCGCCAGAAGAGACTTGTTGAAAATCTGCATAGCAGAGTATAATAAGCAACAAACAAAGGGTACAAAATATCTTCTCCAACATAGAAGAAATTGCCGGCAAAAACTTAGAAAGTATTTGCAAAGATGTTCACCTTCTCAATTGGAACTTCATGTCTCTTGCACCAAGCAACTGTGATCCTAGGATCAAGGTAGTTGATCTTTGATGTTCCCAATGCCACGGTTTTCAAATCTTCTTTGGTCTCCTTATCCCTCTCCATTTTCTCAATCTTTGCAGTGGTTTGAGCAATCTTCCTCTCCCACCTGTAAAGGAAACTTATCATTAGCACCAGTATCCCATAATGTGTACTTTAAACATAAACAAGGTTTAAACATAAACAAGGTTTAAACTTAAACAAGGTCCCCAGTGCTTACGCTTCAGGGTTCAGGTTCTTCTTCGGCTTTCCATCAGAACCCTTCAGCGGGGGCTTCCCTTTCTTTGCTCGAGCCAAATCTGTTCTAAGCGCATCTAGAATGCCCTACAGACAATACAACAAAATAAGCTTAAGAAGCAACCAACATGACAACACCCCACGGCTCCAAAGAATGAAGCAACTGTACTGACAAGGACAAATTTGTTTACGCAATACAAAATTCCCAGGCAATGCAAGAAACGTGTGTGTGTGTGTGTGTGTGTGTGTGTGTGTGCGTGTCTGTGAGAGAGAGAAAGAGAGAGAGAGGTAAATCTTCAGTATCATAATCAAATAGTAGCTCCAACTCCCTTAATGTGAACCAATCCTTCTCACTCAAGGCCAAGGATTGTTCCCCATGTGGGCAGTCGAGCTTTTTGTTCCAAGTCCAGACTACCTTTAATTCTTCAATCTTTTCATTCAACCTTGATATTTGTGTAGAATGGGACTTTGAAACAGTACGTTGATGATTACAAATGATGGCAACCTACAAAAAAGACAGGAAAATTAAAATTTCCAAAATCTAACCCAAAATAACACTATGATAGCTCATGAAAACTTTCTAGCAATGGACTGTCATTACCTCCTTGTTTGCATGCTGATAAACGACAACTTTCTCAGTAACATCTCCACCCTTAGTTTCCCTATTCAACTGTCATCAACCCGAACAAATTTCAGAAAAGAACAGATCTTAGCAGAAAATTGAACAGAAACATCCCACGCAAGAAGAGAGTACTATATAAGGGATTAAGAATTCAAAGAAGCAAATGAATCCCCTCAATATAAAACCTTTTTAAATCACAAAGATAAAACATGCTTTTTTATAAATAAATAAAAAATAATAAATCACATGCTCACTACAACTGCTTAAGTTATGTTATTCATTGCATAGACTACGCCATGTTTCAGACTACTATATCTACACACCATATATAGCCTTCATCATCATGAAATATAATCAACAAAAATGTAAATTGGTTTAACCATGACATCATATTACCACCATGTCCTACTGCATGTCAAATAATCGGGATTAAAGTTTGGTAAGTTGAGTTGAGTTATCTTGCCAATGCATATCAAGTTCACTACTGTCAAATGACAGCAATTATTTGTTAAAAACCATTTCTACTTTTAATAATGTCAAATGACAACAACTATTTGTTATATTTCAACATCTTATTTCCAATATGTTTTGTTAGATAGCCCACATTTATTAATTTTTTATTACTTCACCCTCGTACCACCTTTCAAATAAGCACCAGTACAACTATTTGGCCTGATGGTCAGACAATCCAAACACCAACACAAACACTCCCATGTGTACCAAAGTTTGGTTAACATAGTAAATTCATATTCACAGGAAAAATACCAACTTCAAGGTGTGAAAAATCCCAGCTTGCCTCTTACCATCTCATCCAAAGTGGTAGATGCATTATATGTACGGAAAACTTTTGCTGTGAGACCAGGCATGAGTTCCTTCAGATGAGCATTCAATTTACTGGTATCCAGCTTGTCAAAAAGATCATCGCTGCCACTTTTTCCTGTAGAAAAATAAGGTCATGTGAGCATGTCTTTATCATGAAATGCAGAAAGAGACATTTTGACACAAAAGGCCACGCATCCACTAACCAATTCGGAACTGCTGAATTGCCTTGAACACAGGAAGTTCAACTTCAACCTCATTTTGGTATCTAATTGAATCCTTACCAAGGAAGTCAAACTGGAAAACCAGAAAAGATATTGATTTGTTATTAATTGCAGTTGACAAAAAACCTTTGTATTGTTACATGTCTTCAAAATATTCCAGACACTGATTCCAGTTTCACATCATGCAGACCCCTTTTTAGTCATTTAAAACTTCAAAATCTCAATATAATAACCCACCAAACTCACAATTATTATTATAACCAAATCCAATTGTAAGTTAAGGTTTAAAACCTTGCCATCTGAGACATAAACGCCATTATACCTTCAAAATATTTGGAGGCATTGGTTCTACATTTTCTACTTTCAATGTGCAGCAACCAACGGTATCAGCTTCATCATCATCCTGCAAGATTGAAACAATTATAAGAATAAAGGCTCCAAAACTTGTTTCGTTTTTTTTGTTATGTTTCTATTTACTTTCTGAGCAAGATCGCAGAGGACTCATCACATATACATAATACATGTGTTTATACATTAAAGCATGCATCTATATAAAGTAAATAAAACACTATTAGCACATCTGTAAGATGATCTGCATCACTATGTTTCCTACACAGAGAAGGTTGTCCACCCCATCCAACAGAGTCTTAACCAATTACCTGTTGTCAGATTCTCAACTATGCTTCTACATTGGGAGGAAAAAGAAAAAGGATGTTCTACGAACAAGAGAGTAAAAGATAAACATAAACATGACGAAAACAATTGCATACACCATACCTTCTCATTGCCTGCCCTGAGAGCTAGTTTATCAATAAGATATGTGGCAACTGCTATTTGCCGCCTTGTGATATCCTTACTGGCAAAATCTTTAGTATAAGCTGCTCTGATGCCTTGTATGTAGTCCTACAATCAAACAACGAATTATAGTTATAGCTAAGGGATGGGAAGTCATTGTCTAACACAAATAGAAATGGCATTCATCAGATGTGCAGGTAAAATTTTATGTAAAGTACCTTCAACATCCTTGATTTCTCATATTTCTCCTTGTCACTTTGCCCTTTCAAAGAACTGCTAGCTGCCAAGAACACGTATTTGAATTCCTTTGGGTTGATTGGATCATTCCAAAAAGCAAGCCATGTAACTGTGTTGTCATGCCTTATTTCTTTCCATCTGCAAAGATCAAATATCTGTGAAGTTAATTTATTAAAAATCTTAAAACAGAGACACAACTTTGTTCCTATTTTCCAATAAAATTATGGCAGAAACAACCACCTTTCACCAGGGATAGGGCATTCAGGAATTGGGGCATCCTTTCCAATATTTATAGTAATGTCCCTAGGCTGAATGCGTCTTTTCAGCTTCCCCATCTGAACCACAAAACCAAAAGTCAACAGCAAGTTCTGAATGAAAACTTGAGAACAATTGCAAATTCTTCCAGAAACAACTACAACATATCAAGCATTCTGTCCCGGATTATTTTTTATTTTTTATTTTTTATAAATCCTTCATTGTTGGTAGAAAGATATCAGTAGTACCTTTGGGTGCTCTCCACGGCCTCGGAACAACCCAGGTGGTTCAACTCTAAAGTTTCCAACCTGCAATTGAGAGATAATCAGATTCTATTTGCATGCTTTGAGAATGATGACGAAATGCATCCAAAACAACTAGAACGTGTCACAACCAGCAAACTGATAAATTTCACAAGGATGAAAACCAACATGTAACTTTGGATATGCTTGAATGGCTGGAGTGGGAATTTCACTACTCTACTACAAACAAGATTCCAATGTTGATACAATTCAAGTGTTTGAACTGATATATTTCACAAGATGAAAGCCCAGGTGTAATTTTGGCTATGTTTGAAACTTGAATAGCAGGAATTGAAAAGCAAGAATGGGAATCCCGGTACTAGTAACAAAATTCCTATGTTCATAGAATTTGTGTGTTTGGATTATTCAAGGAAAAAATGGAAAATTTTTGAACATTGTGAGCTCAACTTTTTTTCCCCACTCTAGAATGCTCCAGGAATATAAGATTCCCATATGGGGTTTAAGAATGAGATACGCACTTACTGTGGCAATCTTAATTAGCCTTAGGAAGGCAACCCTGAATTGTGCAAAGGCAAGATGAATGAGCCTTTGCATAAGATGCCCATAGTGGGTTGTGAGAATGAGATTCCCACATAGCATTGGTGCCTTACAACACAAAACCAAGTAAAATATGCAGGAACTTCTTATCATACAAAAATCAGGGACATGAATACTACATGATATAAAGACCTTTGCCCCAAAACTATCCAAATAAAAAGTAAACGAGAAAAAAAAAATAAATAAAATAATAAAACACCAATAAGAATGTCAGAAAGTGGAAACCTGAAAACTCCATGTGGTAAATTTATTCGAATGACAAAAGAAGGAAAAAAAGGAGAAAAAGAAAATATGTCAAAAACATGGGAGGAGTTTTTTACTATAAGATATTAGTTCTCCACCTTAAAGTTTATTCAAGATCTTATTTCCTTTTCTGCATCATTCCATTCAACTGAAACCATAGTGGAAAAATAACGGTGAGAATGGTAGAACAAAAGCAAAAGTGGAAGTACAATCCATTTTCTGCTTATTTACATCTACTTTCTAGTGCAAAACAGCAATTACAGTTATGTTGAAAAGTTTCAAATCAAGCAACAGTTTAGCACGCTACTTCTCAACCCCCTACAGATAAATTTCCTAATTAAATAAGGGAGTGATAATCAAAGCAGTTCTCTACCCTGGGATTTCCCATCCAAGTCTTCCATACTGAATGGATAGTTCACCACTTGCATGGATAAGTTGAGTACTTCATTTCTTTCAAACCCTTTTTTTCTACAATAGAAAACTTCAGAAAATAAAATAAGTAAAAACATGTAAAATGGTAGGGTGACATAAAAGAAAACAGGTTATTACTGTTACTTAGCACACCCAATTTTTCTCTATTAATGGGTTCGACCAGTAAGTACTGATGTTGATGGAAGCAAATCTATTATTGCTTTTCTGATTTTTAACAGGTAAATCATTAATTTATATTCACAAAACAAGCATAACACCCTAAATTCCAAAACATTATACATAAGTCAAAGCCAGTGGTAACCTTCTCTTTGAGACCGTCAACAATAGCCCACATGTACTTCTCCTCTTGTTTCAGTTTCTCTTCTCTCAAGGCCTTCTTCTCCTGCATATTGTAACAAAAATAAATCAAAATGATGAATGAGACAATCATCATCATATCACTATATAAGTACCAACAGTAATTGCAAAGTCACACTGTCTGACCATAAAATCCTAATCTACCTAAAAGCAGTAGTAGATTATGGAGCAAGATATTGCCATAGGTGTCATTACATTACATTAAACAAATACTTGTACAAAAACTCATACCAAATAAATATTTTGAGATCAAATAGGATCTTGAAAATACGGATTAGATCACCAGGGCATTGAACTAGTTAGCTCTATTTTATATGATGGTGCAGATGACCGATGACTCTTAGAGAATTTCTTGTTTATCGTAGATGATGTATGCTTCAATGCAAATGTATTACCGAATTGTGTGAAAACTCAAAGGGATGAGTCTATCACTCTTTAATAGTAGACTATCAGTCCCGGCTGCCAAACAACTCAAACCCCTGCAGTATCAAGGTCATTGTGGAAAACATAGCTAGACCGTCATACAATGGAAGTGGCAAATTCCAGTATTCCAAAGGTAGCCCCACAGATTGGGAATGATTTGAGTCATTTGACACTGTCCATTTGCTTGCATGGCTATTAGCTCAGTGATAGAGCACCCATAATAATTGCATCATTGTGCCTCAGTTGTGAGGGCTCTTAGCCACAAAGCGCACAAGGATGGAAAACAACACAAGTGTTTGCCTACTAAATAAAAGTGTAAATTTTGTTATACATTATTTTTTTTTAAGGATCCTTTTGCCTTTTGTTCAAATGTCATTTGACCAGGTTAATGAATCTCCAAACAGTAATTGTTTGGTGCAATGCCAGATGCTTGGGTAGCCTAGTGTGAAACATGCATTCAATCAAGTAGAGAGGTATAGAGTTGACATGCATTTAATCACCGGTTTGTGTGAGTAATACCAAAGATAGGTTTCTGCCCAGTCCACCCCTCAAAATACCCTTGATTAACATGGAACAGCACCTTTTTTAAAGAATCTAAATGAACATTTTATTATATATATAAGTCAAGAGCTTCCTACAATCCAAGGACAGTAGGTATAGGGTTAACATAGATTATTAAGGAAAAATAAACTACTACACGTTGCCACTGCAAGAATCAGACCTAAAAGAAGTTAACTGAGTTGAGAAACCACTTTAGTTGGGGGTCAAATTCATTAGCAAGTAGACAGAATTTTTTAAATGTTTACTTTTTGGAAAAGAAACCAAGTAAAAGTAAGAGTATTTTGATTGGATCAAAATTCATAAACAATTCATCAGGTTAATTCCCTGATCCTTTGGCATCACAAATCCAGAGGACTTTTAGGCAATTAACTTACTTCTGTACTCATTTGCTTCTTCTTCTCCTTTTCCTTCTGATGCCATTCATATATTGGGGTAAAATCGCAATCTTCCAACCTTTGAATGACATGTTTTTTCCCAAGTATTTTTCTCCAGTCATTCATAAAATTCTCTTTGAATTTTGGTTTGTTCATGTAATCAGTATCCAACATCACTGCAAACATTGTTGCAACCTGCAAAATAAAATTCATAAATAAAAACAGACATCCAAAGAGGGAACTCTGAGAATGAAAACAATAACAGCGAAACCTTAATGCAAAAAGGCATAGTGACCAAAAACAAACGAATGAATAAAAATAGAAAAGCCAAACACAAAAGTCAAGAATGTGCGTGTGTTAGAGAGAGACAGAGAGAGACCTCCTCTTGTTCGGGAGTCAAATCAACCTTCTGCGCCTTGTAGAGCATCTTAACCCCATGAGGCTTGTATGCAGGTGGGAAAATAACACCATTGTGAATCAAGGTAGTCCATTTTTGCCCTTCACCAGAGCCGGGGAGCATCTTTGACGACTTAGAGTATTTTGATTTTTTCACCACTTTCTTGGACTTTTTACTCATCTTTTTGAATGAAGATGAAACAACTTTTGTTACTTTTTGTTTTGCAGAAGATGATTTATTAACTGGTGTAATTGACTTCTTCATTCTCTGGGAAATAGGAACATTATCCTCATCTTCATCATTTACCTTTTTTTCTGCTTTTACAAATACTTGCTTACCAACAATTGGTGAGGATCCATCATTGAGCTTTGGCCTTTTAATTGGAGACTGACTTGAAGATTTGACCTCACCCACAGGTCTCTTATTCAACACTGTAGAAGATTTTTTAATTCGGTTATCCTTCATGGTCGAACCATTTTGCTGAAGTTTCGGTGCTTTAGGTTTATTTTCATCAAAATCATGGGACTTGCTAGTAGACGGTCCTGCATTTGGCTTCAACTGGAACTTTGATGACAAAGGAATTTCATCATCTGAATCTTCACATTTGACTCTTGGTTTTTGAACTGGTGGTAAACCCAGACTAGAAGTGTTTGGCCTTCTGTCTGCATGGTTGGAGCTTTGTTTTGATAATCCAGCAGAGAGTCTAGAAATCAGCGGTTTATCATCTTCTGAATCCTCAGAATCATTAATCAACTGCTTCTCCTCCTTAAGAGATGAAGTTGTATTCTGTTGAGATGAATGTTTTGACTGATCAGCTGCTAAAGTTGACGGTTTTGAATTTGCCACTGGTGATGCCTTAGCAGATGAAATTGAGGCTTTTGTTGGGCTTGCTGAAGGAGATACTGCTGGTGATGCCTTGACAGACGAACTTGATACTTTTGGGCTTGCTGAAGGAGATTTCACTAGTGATGCCTTCGTGGATTGAACTGGCTTAACCTTCTGGGAAATGGAGTTCTGACCATTTGAAGAACGTACTTCAGATAGTTGCTTCCCTGACTGTCCATCATGCATTTGAGATGATGATTTCTTTGTTGCTGAGTTCAAAGGATTTTGTTTTGATGCTGTTTTACTACGCTTGAAAACTATGGGTTCATCATCGTCATCAATCTCATCCATCGTTTTTGAATTCACACAAGCCTGAACAGCCATTGTCCAGTTCGCATGTATATCACATCAATTTCTGCAAACATTATCATTTTTTTTTTTAAATAGGGAAAAGGGGACACAAAAATGATCAATATGAATTAAAGGAAAAAATTTCCACAAATAAAATTCTGCAAAGCTTTCTTTATAATGCAACTAAATCCCATCTGAAAAGACCAAAATAGGTATATATATATATAGAGAGAGAGAGAGGGAGAGAGAGAGAGACTAGAAATACATTTGCCAATTGAATATTCAAAGATTATTCTCAAAAAGTTATTAAAAACAATTCATATTTAAAAGATTTTTGTCAACTTTTCAAGTGTCTATATATATATATATATATCTTTCGAATTCACCTAAGATTTAAAACTCAACTCTTGACCTCAAAACAATTAACAAAGACACACGACCAACATTGCTAATAAGTAGCACTTGGACCTCGCTATGCAATGTACTTTCATATGAATGTGGTTTATATTTTAACCCAAAGCCCTTTTCCGCACTATCCAACCACAAACACGCCTAATTGAGGACTAGAAGCATCAACACTCCTCCAAGATCTTGAACTAAGCATATAAAGCTCATAGTTCTTAAAAAGGGAGGAAACAGAGATAGCCAGAGCACGGGGACTACGCTGAGGGGATGAGGTGAAACTACTAAGGCCCTGGTCTTGACAGGAATGTGTCTAATGTTGAGAACCCACAAAACACAAAACTTAAAAATTTCACTATCAGAAGAAAAGGAAGAGTGAAGAAATGAATAAATTTCTATATGTTAGCAGATAGATTTCGGGTAATCCATAGAGGCGGATCAGAAGGCATACAGGCAGAGTCCCCAAAATCTGAAAACAACCATTTTAAGATGGTAGAGACACACGGGTACCCGTAAAGGCTGGATGATTTTTAGGCACTCCACTATGCAATCAGCAAATAAGAAAACAAGAGTTGGATCGTGTGATTGTTATTCTTGATTAGTTCAAAAGCAATAATACGTTTACAAAATGTGTTGTTTTTATGGTCATGTTTTACCAAATGAAAATGTGAAGGAGCTTCAAGCTTGACTCTTTTTTTCCCATTATAATAGTGTAAGCATATAGATTAACCAAACCAATAGCTAACATTCAACAAAACAGTAATAAAATCAAATTTATTTTCTAAAAGCATTACAAGAACCAATCAAACAAGCTAATGAGCAGTTCTAGTATCAAAAAACATAAAAATAAAATAAAATTGTTCATCTGTTCGAAAATCAAATGAATATATCCTTATTTCTTATATTAAACGCATATAAGGAAACAAAATCTCTTCAGTTTTCTTATTTTCATCTTCTTGCGTCCCAAACCCTAAAATCCTCATTTTTTTAAAGAAAAACTAAGGCGATTATAGAGACATATGGGAAAACATAGAATACACAGAGAAAGAAAGGCAGAGAGTGCTTACCAGGAAGAGAGAGATGAAGGCTGTGAAGATGGTGTAGAGAGAGAGAGAGAGAGAGAGAGAGAGAGAAGAAGAGGGGTTAGGGTGAACAAATTAACCCAACCCACAAGAAGTGAGAATAGAGATAGATAGGTGTATATCTATTTCTCTCTCTCCCTCGCTCGCTCTTTCAGTGTGTTTTGTCTTTGTTCTTTGAGGTATCGCCACGCCCAACTCTTCAAACCCAGACCTGAGTCCAGCAGAGTCTCCAACCCAACGCTGCGTTCAGACCCGAACCCACATCCCATAACCAAACCCGATCCTAAAGTCCCCCAATGGGCCCCAACTCTAGTGGGAATAGGTTTTGAAACCCTGGTTAGGGTTGGACTTACTGCACACCTAAAATTGTGGTTTTAATTTTTATTGTTAAAATAGTATAAAAAAAAAAGTTTAAAACTTTAAAATAAATAAATAAATCAATAATTCATGTTATTTTAATCTTTTTAATAAAAACTGCAATCCATACTTAATGGGTGTTTGTTACTTAACAAAAATGAGTCATTATATTCCGTTCGTAAAATTTTCTGGTACGTTATTGGTTTGGACCATTATTTAAACAATGCTAAAAGTGCTTAATATGATACTGTCTTATCAAATATGATGCTTTAATTTGAATTTTATTACTTTGTTATGTAACTTTTTCTTCTTTAATTTTAGTTATATTGATCATTACAAATAAAAATAAAAATGAAAGGTAACAAATGTAATATAATTTTCTTATTATGAATAAGCCGATTTTTCATCAAACTTTTTTTTGTTGTTAAAAACAAATGTGATGATTCATATTAATAAATATACATGCAGTCAATGTTTTTATATATCTCATGATAAGAAAAATAATATAAATGATTTATTTATATATAGCATTTTAAAAAAATTATACTCGTAATTTTTGTAATTTGTCTCTTATGTGTATCAATTTTGTTCCATATTTTTTTACATTGTGTCAATTTAATACAATTAATAACATTTATTACAAAATTAGATAAAAATAAACAAAAAATAATTCACTCAAAAGATAGTGTATCATTTTAAATACGTCGTCAACCCTCAATCATTTTTAGGATACTAAATAAATAATTTAACCTTTGATTGCAGTCTAATTTATAAAACAATACTACTTGGACTAAAATTGACACTTTATAAAAACATTAATTATCAAATTGATACAATTAAAATTATAAATATCAAATAAATGTAAGGAGAATTTTTTTTTTTAAAATTCCTGATATGAAAATTTTATAAGATAAAAGATATACAATATTTTCATAGTAGTTAAGATTTCTCAACATTTTTACATAGAAAATTTGATTCAGAGAAAATTTACCCAACTCAGAGAAATTTTAATTTTCATAATTTCTCTGAATCGGATAAAATTTCTCTAAGTTAAATTTTTTCAGTGAAAATATTAAGAGACTTTAGCTAATGAAAAAATATATTAAACTTCTCCTATTATATAAGGTTAGAGAGGACGTTTCATTCATTTTTCCTAAATATAAACATAACATATTCACGGGTATAATTTATCCATAAAAGATTACAAATTGGTGAAAACCAATGAGTTGTCCGTGACCCATTACCATTATTTTGGGACTCGTGATGGGTGATTACAAGGACACAACAATTGAAATTCGGCCCAAAATCTTTAGGGCTTTCTCGCACTAGATAAGGGTACAACAGGGCCAGCTCGAGGTTTCTACGTACTACGCTAGGCCCAACGAGCTTAGTATAACAATTTATTGTGGGTTTAACCCACCCGTTTTTAGCGGACTCAAGGCGGGTTTGGTAAATTTTCAAGCCCAATGTTGAATTCAGACTTGAGAAAAATAATAAAATAAGAAAAAAGCTATAGGCAGAAAAATCTATTTTAAAAAGCAATTAAAAAAAAGGTAAAATGAATATGTACAAATTTAGTGTGATGGACATAGATGTGACAAAAAAAAAATTTATATATGTAATTGTGAGTAGATTATTCGTATCATAATTACAAATAAATTTCACATTTGCACATTTTAATAAAATAAAGGCACAATATTTATCCATTCAAAAAGAAAAGCACATCACTTTTTCTTTTTCTGTTAATATGCGTGTACTTTTTCTAGGTGGTCTATTTTATTTCATTTATTTTTTAGGTACCAAAAGCATATTCTTACAAAACATTAAGATATTAATAAATAGAGCTCTGCTACAGAGCCCGAAAGGGTTTGGAGTCAAATTTGGCTCGAATTTGAGAAGAAGAAGTAAGAAGAAGAAGAAGAAGAAGAAGAAGAAGAAGAATAAGAGGAGAAACAGAAGGAGAAGCAGAACTAGAGGGGGCCCTAAAAATGGGGCTGGTGGCGGAGGCGGAGGCGGAGGCGGGCGGAGGTGGGCAGAGGCAGAGGCGACGATCGGCCGACGAGTGACGAGCTGCGACGATCGGCCGACGAGCGACGAGCTGCGACGACGAGCTCCCGCCTCTCCCCTCTGTTTCTCTCTCGCCTCTGCTTCTCCTGTGTTCAAAGAAACGAAGAAGAAGAAGAAAAGAAGAAGAAGAAAAGAAGAAAAAATAAATAAATAAAAAAAAATTGAAGCCCAAAACGACGTCGTTTTGGACTTCGAGCCGGATTCGAGCCTCATATTTCAGGCCCTCAAACATTTTTCTAATAAATATTTAATGTGTGCTTTTAAGATTGCTGGCTTATTAATATTTAATGTGTGCTTTTAAGATTGCTGGCTTTTTTAGCTCTTAAAGGTTAATTGTGTAATTTAAGTGTGCAGCAAGGATCAATAAGTCTTTACAAAATTTATAATTGTCAACCAATTATCAAACGATTGTATTGAAATTCTTTCAACCTCAATAAAGAGGACTTTACTAGTGGCTTGTTTTAGGAGAAATTTATAAGAAATAATAAGTACAGAATAATTTAGAAACTGAATTTCATTAAGCAAATATGAACTTACAATGAAATGACTCAGCCTTAAAAAAGTTTACAGTAACGACTACTTGAAACTACTCCTAGGAAATGAAGTGCAGTACAAGAATTGAAGTGCTAAAAATGTAAAGAACTGGAAATGTAAAAACTGAAAGGAAATGCGAAGTAAATAAATTAGTTTCTGGATCTGAGTCTGGGTCCCTTCTGTTTAGCCTTCTCCGCTATTTATACTTTTTAGTGATAACCATCGAAGTGACCTTCTAATTGTCGAAATACATTTCCACGATCTTTGGTCATGGCTTCGCTCAACTAACTCCCACTACGCCTCTTTTGCAGTTAAGCTTCCCTTTTGAATTTGAATTGTAGGTAACCGTTAGGCTACGTCATCTCGCGCCTCTTGACTATTCTGATGCCACGTAGATCCAATACTACTAACATGAACTGCCATGTGTCTGTCTTTGATTAGAGACTTGCATTAATTTTCCAAATTGCCCTTTAGGTGCCACGTGTCACTCTGCGATTGGCTTTTACAAATTATAGAGCCAACATTACCCCGCACTAATATACCCAATACTTGGTGATATTAGTGGACTAATGCATTCTACCCATATCCTAGGACGTGCATGGACTCTGTATATTCTGGAAGCATAACCACTTTTTGAACAATGAAGCAGTGAACTTCATTAAATCCTTGTGCTTTGCACTTCCATTTTCTGAGTAGACGAAAAGACTGGTACATCCCCAATGGTCAATCACACTTTCTCTTACATTGATCGAGCATACGAGGAGTCTTTGGAAGATGATTACAGGCCTCAAAAGAACCTTAATGCATTTAGTGGCTACATTTATCCGCCTACATTTATACATGTCATGGAAGCTTTTGCAAGTTACCAACCTTTGGACCAAGAATCTGCCAACTTCAAACCTTTGGATCAAGCATTTGCAAAAATGGATCTTGGAAGCTCCTCCTCTGCCCCACAATTCTCTGTATGGGATGAAGCTACTTCTTTTTCCTTGAAGTTCACTAGCTCGGGAAGTTGGTCAATACCTACTGAACCCCAAATAAGGGAGCGAATTCATCATTGATTTGTTGAATTCGATGATCCCCTTTCTGTTCATCCTTCTACTTGGAGCTCAGTGGTTTATCCCTATATACCCATTGATCACCAACGTAGTCTGGAAGACAACTTGCTTGTGGCGTGGTACACATCTTCCATGCCAGTGAGGATAGTGTGGAAAACTCCTCATCTAGACAAAGCACAGGGATTTAATCCGCTATTTTTGGCTAAGAAGGCAAAACTTTGCTCTTCTGATTAGTTTGAATGCATGAATGACCCCTAGTTCCCCTCTACCTTCGGGATGGACCCTTCTGCACCTCATCTCCCTCAGAATCCTCATTGGATGGGGGAATTGAAACTTATTCTCTTCGAGGGTCAATTTTTTTCTTCCTACCAACCTTTAGTTCCTCTAACTGCATTTGAGCGATATAAAGCTCAGATTCTACTTGTTGCCTTCTCTTACTTGCCTTTCAATGTTCTTGGAGATGAGATTCCTCTTAGGAACTTTTAATGGGCCTATGATGTTATGACTCGGGATCATGTTCTCAACCCCATTGCCCAAACAGAGCTTCAAGCCTTTTTGGACCAACTCTCACTCCTTCTTCATTGGTACAAAATTTCTTTGGCCACCAGTGACTCCTTGGACGAAATCACAGTCAATCGAATTCAAATTCAGTATGAAGCAAAGAATCTTATTGAAGAATATGATGACTTCAAGAACAAGGACTCAACGTAAAGGGATGATTTTGATATGGATGAAATAGAGCAAGGCTTGAAGGAGACAGAGTTTGAGGTAAAGGCCTAACATCTTTTTCACAAAATAAGAGCCTATCAACTACAGCAAACTAAGTTAGATAGAGTGGAGGATAGAATAAAGAAACAACACAAGTTCATAGAACACTATTGGGTTAAATTTAATGAACTTGTTACTTTTTCTATTCCCTATTATTATGAAATTGAATTGTAGCCAAGTAAGCCTTTCTAATGTAATTATTTATATATCAATAAAACTAGGTTCCCTCTTTTGCATGATCTGGTTTTATATTCCAATTACATGTTTGTGACCTTATTCCTCACTTTGTTCATACAAAAATAACAGCTTAGAATTAACCAACTTTGCTTCGAAGCTTGGTTTGAATATCTCCAAAGTATGGAAT